AAACGGTCGAACAGCGAAACAAATCTACCAAGAGTTGAGGGTTGCTGAAGGACCTAATGCACTCTCTGAACGTACTATTTACCGGTGGATTGAAGCATTCAAAGACGGGGGATGAGAGCATTGAAGATAACCCCCACTCAGGAAAGCTGTCACCCCAAGAACGATTGCGAAGGTGGAGGAACTCCACATCACCATAAGGATGATAGAGGAGGAAGTTGGGATCTCTAAAGAAAGAAGTCCATCTTACATAGCCAACTTGATCTCAACAAAGTGTGTTCAAGATGGGTTCTGCATGTCATAACGGATGCAAATAAGCAAAAACGAGTTGCAACTTATGCTCTATTCGTTCAAACGTTCAATTTCGAATTCCCCTGGTGTAGGTGGTGCGTCTTTCATATAACTTTGTTTTATCATGATTTTGTAATGTTCATTTTTTTGTTATCTGTTGTGTTTCATAATGTTTATCGTTTATTTGTCTATTTAGGTTCTAGAAGATATTCTACAAAGGCCGAAAAAACACCAACTTTAAAGGAGGCAATGGTCGAATACATTAAAATGAGGCATAGGAAAGAATTCAAACAGCAGAAGCAAAGCCACAAATAGCAAACTTAGAGGATATATGGCCTCACTCGCTTTGACGATGTTTATGACACTAGTTGGTATATATCTAAATGCAAAAAGTGCTAACATGATCAATGGCAGACCTAAACTTGCAAAACAGATGTTACAAGTTTTAGATGGCGGTTTTCAAAATATTATTACTAGAAGTTTTTGCAAATTTTATGGAATGTCTGACAGGCACACTGTTTGTGATGTGATTCTTCATCATGACAATGAATCACCTCACAAGGCAGAAGTTGTTACAAGCTACTTAAAGAGAAAGGGTCCAATTGCCCCCTTACAGTCTAGATCTAGCTCCCTGTGACTTTTTTTTTGTTTCCTAGAATAAAAAAAGAACTGGGTGGAAGGAAGTTTGAGAACGTTAAAAATCTTGCATGGGCTGTTCAGGCAGTGTCTGACAGCATACCAAAAGACGAGTACTATAAAGCCTTTCGGAGTTGGCAGAAAAGGCTTAAACGTTGCATAGAAGTAGGCGGAGAGTGCTTTGAAATTATTATGTACGTTTTTCGAGAAATAAAATCATTGTCAAAACTTTTCAGATACCCTACATAACTATAACAAATAATATTTCGCTATAACGGTTTCTCATTTAACATACGATCGAAGAAGTAACATCATTATTACATGACATTGTCATCGTTACGTTCAACTGAGTATGGATAACATTCCATCTAGGTAATGACTCGTGTTGCGTAGCGGGAATGCTCACTAGAGTATTCGACAAGTTAATGCACAATCCAGATCACAATATTTTGCAATTTTCAAGCATACATCCTAATTTGCATAATGATCCATCATTTACATTGTCAAAACCAATTTACATGATGCTCAAACAACTTTTGGAGACAAGTTTGTTTATGATAATAACAACTTCGCTAATGTAATAAATACTTTGTCGCTTTCCATTCCTTTATGCTTTACTCACTTACTTCTTCCTCATCAATTCCGCAAACTCCTCAACATTCCAATTATAATATCCTCCACTATGCTCCTTTTTAGCGCCACCGACAACCAATCCAGCGATAACATGTGCAGGGTCCTCGGGCGATAGGAGTTGATTGGATGCATGGAGACCGACGAACCGGCTATGATCCTGCTCAGCCATCACATTGGATCCTGAATGGGATTCGAGTGGAGCGATATGAGTACATAGTACTTGCAATATATGTAAGATTAATTTTTCAGAACTGGTCATATTTCTTACCTTTTGTTCTAACAACAGTTTGCATGGCAGTATCAACAACACCTGGACGAATGGCGACGGCCACAATATCTGGTTCTTCGAGTGCTAAGCACCGTATTAACATATTAATAGCAGATTTGGACCTATAAAAACAATAACAAAATAAAGTCCGAATCTACGATCAATAACCTGCGGACTCGCAATTAATAAAAAAGCCTCATAAAACTGTTCAGATCGCTCGTATAAAAAATAATTAGTTACACGCAATAAGCACTCCAGCTATGTATAGCCTTCACGGAAGCACCGGAAGATATCGCTATCACGCGTCCGTTCGCGGATCGCAGATGGGGGATAGTCTTTTTGAGTAAAGTTACTGCAGACAATAGATTTACTTCAATGTTGCTGTTGGAAAGAGCGGGGAGGGTGAATGTGATCGGAATTAGTCGAAGAAATATCGAATCTGCGAAAGAGACATACATGCATACATATATACAATATATACATACATACATACACATACATACGTACATACATTACATACATACACATACATATATATACACATATAATATTTGAGAAGCACACAGAAACTTACCGACGCCATTCGTCAAGATCTATGTTTGCAAGTGTTTCCATCGGTTCGAGAATACTGGAGAAGACAAGAATTACATATCATGTCCAGAATCAAGGTGTACGGATAGGTCATTCGGCTAAAATCGATCAGTCCCTCACCCAGCGTTAATAACAAGTCCATCGATCCTTCCCCAATGTTTCAAACACTTTTCCACTGCTTCATCAATGACTCTTTCCTCTGTAACATCTCCAACAACTGTTTCTACCCTCCCCTGCGCGTTTAATTCCTTTTCGGCGTATGTCTTGAGAGAGTTCAAAGCATTCTCAGTTCGCGCAATTGCAAGCACGTTTGCATTGAAAGTCTTGAGACAGGCTTCGGCTACTGCACGGCCTATACCCTGAAGGAGTGTAACAGCAGGAATGAGAACTAAAGCAAACAAGGGAGGGGGTGAATGACGAAATCTGAAAAAGTAAAATGCACAAGCTTACACGAGAAGCACCCGTAACCACAATAGCCGGATGTGACATTATGGATCAAAAAACCAGTATACGTGTGGCCCCATAATGATTCAGACATTTTTTAACTCGAGAATTTGGGTAACCAGTGTATTTTATCATCTAATTTTGAATGGTCTTTTCCTTCAAGCCGAAATGCAAAGTTCTTTTAGCGAAGTTGATAGAACGCACATTATTATAGGCAGCTTTTTTGTATTAGCATGGGAAGATTTTACATGGCCTATGGAGAATGCCCATGACCATATTGTTGACAATCAGCCAATAACATCTTGAGGGAAATATCCGCAAAACCGTAAAGTTATTAGATTTTATTAATTAAGAAAAGTTACAGTTTATAATAATCAGTAGCATTGGATATTGCCGATGTTGATCGAATTATTTGATAAAAAGAAGCGGATTTATCGATCTTGTATTTCTCCTAACAAACCGGAAACTATTGGAGTCTTTTGCTTATTCTGTTAGGGGCATGGCGAATATTTCTCGGATATTATGTTATTGCTATTACCGATTTTTGACACCTTCAGTTTCGATCAATTTCTTTAATTTGTTCTTGATATTATAAGGAGAAAAAAAAAACGAAAATAATCTGACTAATGGATTTGGCAGTCGTGTGATCACCAATAAATGTTCTTGGGTTACTTGACACCACCAAAACGATAAGATAACGAATAAACAATCGCGTACAGGTTTATAATAGTTATATTGAATTGGATAACTGAAAGTAATTGCCCTATGTGGTATCAACATTACTGGATGATGGCAGGCTCCTTTCGTCATTCCTTTATAGTATTAATTTATCGCAATTTGAAATTAAAAACGGTTTGACGGAAAACGTAGTACATAGTAGTACATTCTAATTCGTTATGCCAAGCCTATTATTATTATTATATTGTACTCCTTGCATACTGTCGTCTCTGTAATGGGTTGGCCAGAAATCATGATTCCCTTGTTAGCTTGTAAATGATACTTTATGGACTTTCTTATTTCTACGTCAAATAAGAATAACGAGTGTTCCAATTTTGACTAAAATTCCTTGCTAAGGGAAATGTCTTGTTTTGCCAGTGTCCAGTTAATATTAATATTAAACTGTTGGTTTTCCTAGTCACAGATACACCACGTATATCTTCAGTTCAAGAATGTCTTTGTCATAAAAATTAGAATATACAGTATCCACCAAAATTCAAATGCTCAATGTCGTGGCTTACTGAGGGTCTGTTTCCGAGAACAATATTAAGGCCTTCACTATTCACATGCACTAAAGACGTTTGTATCCTGTCACATCAAGCGCAGGTTATGATTTATTCTCTTGACATTGATTGCCAATGTATAAAATGATTATCCAAAGCTTCTAATAATAAAAATCCATAACAACCCCCCATTAATGATACAAATACAACATGTAACAATAATTAAAAAGGATAGGCAAAATAATGATTAAAAACAAAGAAAAGAACTTCTTCTTTTTTTTATCACTAAAAATATGTACAAATTTTGTGGAGACTACAAAGCCAAATAAAATAAAGGTATGCAAAGAGAAAATATCTAGGGTCTAAGAGCACCCCTTCCCTTTATATTTATACGATCTTCCGTATTGGCAAGCGGTTTGTTCCCACCAGAGATTTTCCTATCCTTGGATCTGTTCAAACACTACGGCTTGAATTTATTATGCCCGGTGATGTTTAATGATGGCGATGTTTTCGATGTTTACGTTTAGGCTTTTTTGGTTTTCGTTTTGGTTTTGGTTTTTGTGGTTTTGGTTGGGGTTGTGGTTTTGGTTGGGGTTGGGTTGCACCACCACCTCCACCTCCACCAACGAAATCCCAGGTAATTTGAACGCGGCCAGCAGACAAGGGAGCTATTTGTTGGAACGCAGTAGGACTCAAGTCGAGATCGCCGAACTGGCATGCTTCACATCTATCGACGAGGGTAACAGTGACAGAGCCACTAGGCCCATTAACTCTTACTTGACGACCACAGAAGGGGGAATTATTGGGATTTGGGGGACTGCCAAATTGAGGGGCGCTCTGATTGTGGGGATAGAAAAAAAATCAACGTGAGAATGTTTACGCAAGACCATTATGAACATTGCCAAGTAAGTCTTGACAACGTCTTGTACTGTGAATTAATTAATTACTTACCAATGCAGCAACAAGTTCATTGTCGTTATTGACTTTTCCACAAGCGCCAAGACCGACTTCATAAAATGTGCCCTGGCCGGCAAACCTTTTGTGTAGCAATGGGGCTGCCTGAATGCTACTGACTATTCCGAAAATAATGAGAGAACATAAAATAATGGTTGATCTAATCATTTTGAAGCGATTGAAAGAGAGTATAGATTTTTCTAAAAAGAACGTATAGTGGTTGGTATTTTTTTACTCGTAAGGGATCTGATTTATATTGTTTTTCTATTTTTTAGTCGTATACAAAAGTCTTCTTAATCAATAAGAGACTTCTAAAGAGATGTTCAAAGGAATGATTAATCTCTTTCAATGCAATGACAGACCACACAGGTTCGTGAAAGGTCGATTTTTAAGAAACAAGACCACCTCGAGCATCTTCGGTTTATATATGTTCTTCTGCAGCCTGCGGAAATCTCGTGTTGACTTGTCTAGATATTATGATTTATATTTGTGTCCCAAACATGGCAGGGCTTTCTATTGCCAATGCATAAGGCGAAACACCTTTTTCGGAAGAACCTTTGCTTACGATTGGAAATTGCGTACGTTACACGGGTGGGTACTTGTAACCCGAAGATATATTTGTAGAATGTTGTTATTCGCTTAGCGGGTTTCACAACAGCCATCATCCGTAAAAGCCGGATTCAAGCTTCTAATTAGTGAAACGTTGCTTGACGTGCTAGCCACGGAACGAATAATATAGTTCGCCTTTGTGATTCGGTCGAACATTACCAATTACTAGACAGGACATTCAAAGCATGTGCAATGTTTGGAAGTGAAATTAAAAATTATACCGAGGATAAACAATGAGAAAGTATGCATTCATTGATTATATTATCGACAATATATTTTGATGTTCAATTTAGTCACAATGACATATCAAATGATTTTAGCCTTATGCACCCTAGCCTAACAATACCAAACTCGATACGTGTACTTGCCCAATTTTGAATAATTGTTCTCACTAAACGTCGCCATGATGTTTCGTTTCTCATCGCGCTAAACACTAGATTACATCCCGATGACATAGCTCGTATCTCATCGAAACAAGCCCGAACGCTATATAAAACCCTCTGTCTTCTTGGTTAATTCTCGATAAAAAAAAATGTGTTCAAAGGAAGAACAACCAGAAACCATCGAAGCTGCCTCGGCGATCCCCAGACAACCCGTCCAGGAGCAACCGGGCCTTCAACACGAATTAAAGCCACAACCATTAGTTCATCATTTGCCCACAGAAACCGATAGTACGTTGCATCCATACAAGGCGGCAGGAAAATTGGAAGGAAAGATTGCATTGATCACAGGCGGCGATTCGGGTATCGGCAGATCTGTGGCTACATTGTTTTCATTGGAAGGATGCAAGGGAATAGGAATTGTGCACCTGGAAAAAGAATACGAGGTTGGTTGTTCGCGCAGAAAAGAAAAACATGATGCAGCCGTGTGCAATAGAGTTCAACAGCTGATTGTGTTTAATATGCAAATGTTGATCAGGATGCACAAGAGACGAAACGCAGGATTGAATCACAATCTCAAACAAAAGTTGTTTTGATTAGCAAAGACGTTGGTTTCGAAAAGAATGCCATCGATATTGTCAACGCAGTCGTCCAAGAATTCGGTCGAATCGATATACTTGTCAATAATTCCTCCGAACAGGTAGGTACTAGTATTGGCCAAAAACGTTGAACGAATATTCGTGTTGAAATTGACATTTTAATGTGATTAGCACATTGCCTCGGATATCGAGAAAATCACTGCTCAGCAATTGGAAAGGACATTCAGAACAAACATTTTTGGAATGTTCTATCTTGCCAAGCATGCTGTTAAGCATATGAACAAAGGCAGGTCGGTGCATATGTCTTTTTTTTTCAATTCCATTATTCTCATTCGCAGATTATTCATAATCGACATCATAATGTAGCAATATTATAAATACGACATCCGTGACTGCGTACAACGGTAGTCGACACCTTGTAGACTATGCTTCCACAAAGGTATTCGAACAAGGCAGATAATTTCATCGTTTTACTTTCTATCGTTGATGTACGACAAATCAATCAATCGTTATAGGGCGCAATCGTAGCTTTCACGCGATCACTCGCTCTCAATCTTGTTTCTCGTGGAATTAGGGTCAACGCCGTTGCTCCTGGTAATGAGAATTAGCTCGTTGTTCTTTCGACTTTTCCCGGTAGGGACAGAGTGCGAGTGTTTGTCTTACTTGCTTGTATACATTGTCGTTTGATAATAGGTCCTATTTGGACGCCGCTGATTACAGCATCATTTCCGGAAGATAAGATGGAAACCTTTGGAAAGAAAGTTCCTATGGGACGTGCTGGTCATCCATCTGAAGGTAAAAAAAATTCTCGTTTGCGCTAAAAAATTTTCTACTTGATTTGCAAACGGCGTTCGTTATAGTTAGTCTAACTATAATAATAACTAAACCCCTAACACTAAATCCTCGGCTGTGTTGGGTTTTTTTTCCTAGTTGCCCCATGCTATGTATTCTTGGCTAGCAATGACTCGAGCTACATGACTGGACAGGTCTTGCATCCAAACGGAGGTAATTACATTTTAATGCATATCACGATAAACAATTCATATTAAACATTTGAAATGACCTTGTCTATTTTAATTAATATATAGGGAGTATTATTAATGGATAAGGAGTGAAGTGATACAAGAAAAATTTTGCACATACAATCGTAAATAAAGATATTGATTAAAAAAGCTCTTTGTTCATGTGTATTGGTATATGCATACCACTGTTTAAACATTCCAATTGTGTCTACCACTTTAGTTGACTGCTGTATGAACTATGCGAAACTGCCGGATAAACTTGTATAATTAATAGCAGTTCAGATTAGTCCAATCACTCTTAGTCCTGGCCATTTGATCAAGGGCTATGCAATCAGCGAGTGATCGGTAATTTATAGGACGGTTTCTGTACCCTTATTACGGGCAATGTTAATACATATTGCAAGCGGCGTAGTTATGGGATCACAAATTTTTTATGTCGATCATGCACCTGGCTCTTGTGATATGTCGAACTTGTACGCGATTTTTAGCTGCGATATACAACTATGTTGTGCGAGAAGGGCATTCTGCCTTGTTCAGCTGCTTTCTGGTATGGCTCGAGTATTCTTCCACCCTACAGGTCGCCGTGAACCTAGCAGACACAGAAAGATTACGCAGCGATTACACGTTTATTACTGAGGATTCGCTTGGTTCGGATATATGCACAATTGAGCTGTGTAGGAAATAGTCACGGCGCTTTCAACGTCAAGGTGCGCGCATAGTCTACAGCAAAGTGGAAGAAGAATGTTGTTCAACATTTCACGACAGTTTATGTCATGGTTTCTTGGCTGGGTGTTGATGGAATTTTTGAAATATTCCAATCTGGTATCTTGTAAGTTTCGGGGTAGGTATAGGACCTTCTTTATCAGATGCCAGCTGATGCCCACCATTCGACACTTGAGACGAGTCACTAATTAGACTCTTCATTCTGAACCTAGGCGGAGCTTTGCAATTCGATCACTATTTCTTTTTGGAACGATTGCAATCGTCACAATAATAACGATTGGATATGGATTACGCGGTCTTCGGTAGTGCAACATTTCATCCGAGCTTATAATCGTTGACGTGTCACTCAAATCAGAGTCCAGAGCAACCACGGAGCTTGCACATCAAAAGTATGCAAAGACACAAAACAGACATGCATTTGTTTAGTAAGTAAATTAATTAAATTAAATATCCAATTTTTTCTAACACAAATTCACCCTAGTGCAAATTTAAATTTTACCATCTCCATTATTCCTATTATTAATAATATTGTCGCTATTATCTCCCCACTATATAATTCCCAATGCATCAATTTGTCTTTATTGCAATCACTCAAATGGCAATTGTCCTCGCAATCCTTACCCATGGCCTAACTCATACTTATGAAGATGGATTCTCAATCTCCAGACTACTTACGATATTGGAAACCATCAAGTACCTTACCCTTAAGTCTATGCAATTTGAATGTATAGATTTTTCAATATATTTTATACGCTAGAAAGCAAATTCAAGGTTGTTTTTTATTGTTTCACGCGACATGTCAGAATTCGCTCAACCATGTAACAATTGGTTGTGGCTGATTAATAATAATATCAAATGCTCAGTGTCCTTGATCGATCAGCAAAGGTATGATCCATTGCCACTTTTACTTTTTGCATGCATCTTTGACAACTTGAAAGGGGTCTCTATCAGTGGTGGTGCTGGCCATCGTGCAGGAGCCTCTTTTCGCTTTGTTCCAGCACATGCTATATCAATGCGCTTCCCGTTGAGATTACACAAGGTCGTACGGGTCTCACGAAGCTTTTCCAGAAAGCTCACCATCACACAATAGGCCAGCTTAATGTTGCAGATGTCACTCGTCGACGAAGGCATGGATGCCTGGTATGCAAGAGCGAGATGGGAAAAGCCTCCCACATCACAAAGAGAATAAATACGTATGGTTCGTATTTGCCACCCAAAATGCGTTGATCAGTTTCAATATGGCATTGTCTCAGCAATATCAACTCACCAATTATAGTAAAACCCCATAGAACCAGGCTGCTTGTATCAACACCAACTAGCTCTTCTTGGTTCAAGAGCCATATGTCACGAAGCTCTCATGTCAGCTTGACTGTATCCATCCAATCTCTTGCATGAGAACAGCGTGGCAGTCCGCCAACAACTTTACCGCAGCCGATTTCAGGTATCCAGTGTAGGCCAGTGAAATCAATAAGAACATCAATCTTGACGTTTGGCCATAGCATTGAGTGTACGTTCACAACTGATAATGAACAAGCAGGTGTGTGTTTGCTAAGCTTCTGCATGTGAATTAATAGACATAATTCAAAGCAACGTACTAATGTACCCGATACTGTGGCATTTGTCGGACAGTAGCATCTAATAACGGCGCGCTAAATGTTCATTTTATTATTCTTCGCTTTCATGATCGAATCGAACCTGACCATTATGTTTTACTTACTCACATAAACGTCTCGTTTTCGGTAACCTTTCTCCACAAGATTCCGCACATAAGCCATCTTTCACTTGTCAATTCCCTTCCGCGGCTTACAGTCGGTTCACAAGGGCATCAAGATGTACACATTTCTCAGCCGCCCCCTCGTCGCTGCAAACAATTTTTCCTCAACATCGCCAGCATCGCTAGCAGCGACATCGTCCACAAGAAAAAACGTTTGGCGCAAACTCGTGCCGCGAAGAGGAACTGGATGACGAATCACTCTCCTTGCTGTTCAGCCTTTGACGAACTTATCCATGCCTATATTAATATGTATGTGGTTAATAATTCTGTCTGCTGTAAAACAAATGACAAAACTTGACGCGTATGTTTACGTCGAAACGCTCGAGAAGATTTTTGGCCTTGCGCCGCTTCGCAGTGCTGTTCTCCCGGGCAAGCTGTTCAAGTGTAATTTTAAAGTCTCTCCGCGTAGCCAAACATGGAATAGAAGGCAAGAGGTGTCATGTTATGTGCTTGTGCACCCACTCAACCTGTTTCGTCTGGCTTTCCGTGGTTAGGTGATTAATTTGTTTATGAACAGTAATGGTATTCGTTCTATAGTGTGTTGCGAAAAAATGGCGCGTAGATAAACTGGTATATCTCAACAATTATGAAAGTTTATTTAAAAGCTTGATCGAAATTCTATCTCCATTTTAGGCATTCTTTTCCTGCCACAGGTTGGATCAACACACGTGAGAGATATTAAAATCGATAAATACCTGATTTATGTATGCGCCAATCCTAGATTATTCGAAAGCCTGTAGGTCGGGGAAATCTCACTACACTAAACGCGTTTAAGATTCCAAATAAAATCAAAGGCAAGTTTCGATTTCATATACCGCTGATACGGAAGCGTTTTGCACTTTTATAAGTGATAGAAAATCTTACCAGGGAATCAACGAAGTAAATTTATAATTTATACACAAGTTTTATTAAAATAATTTCGCAGCTTTGTATTACTCCAAGTTCGATGCGTCACGGGAATGTTCGTACCACCGACAGCGAGGATATTCTCGATCACGACACGATTCACGTCGTTCGCAGAACATCAATGGGGACACCGACTCCAGTATGAACTGAGGGTCGAAACGCAACAGAAATATCCCCACAGAGCACACCAGACCTTTATGGTAGCTGGGGACGGCATCAGCGCAAGGCATGTCTGCTATACACCCAGCAACGCGGCAACAAAGCGGCACACCAGGCACTGGCGCTCCGTGTAATCTGAGAGGAATATAGAAAAAAGCACTTATCAACAAGGCATCTACGATCAATCGCGGACAGTTACCAGGCGATTTGGTACTCATATTGATAAAATGGCACGGTGTGTAGCAGGCAGTCTTCGCGATGATGCCGCCACCGCGTCCACCTGGCAACGACTCGCAGTTCATAGCTGTATGATATATTAATTCTCATTACACAAGTCATTTTCATGCAGTCTGCAAGAATAAGCATCTTCTTATTTGCATTACTCGGTTCTTTGTCGTTATCGTCGTGGTATGATTCCTTCACGCAACCAGGTTCGCTGGGAAAGTGCGTTAACGAACATACGAAGAAATAGAAATGTTGAATTTCACATATTCCAGGTGCAATGACGCAGAGCATATATACGAGAATATGGTCGAACTGATTAACACCGATAATTGCAAGTACAAAGAAACTTTTTTGAAACGGCATCGCAGATACAAATAATCGACAATTCCAGAATCTCAGAATATAATAAGGCTTTTCGGTGATCGCTAATTATTGTTAGGTCGGGTGCACCACTATATTACGGGAATAGGATGGAATAAGCGAAAGATGTTTGGTTTTGCTTTCAGGTAGGCCAGACAAGTTTACCTTATGCATTGCAGCTATTATTGCTCTAACGCAAATGGAAAGACTGCTTTATGCGGTTATTGTTCTGCGAGAAAACTTTCAAAGGTGCTCATGAAACCGTGCAGGTAAGACTTTGTGACTCGGGTGTTGGTGACTAGAGTAATGCGTAACATTGCACGTACATATTACATAGTTCTATCCCATACTATTCTTATTATTATCACGTTCATATTGTACTATTTACTATTTACAATAGAGTAGAGAATGTAATAATCACTTTCTCGTCCATTTATTGTCTCTTTCGTTTGTCTTCTAATATTTTACGCTGAAAGTTAACTGGCTTGTCCTGTTACTTGCTGGTTGTCATACGGGAGAGCCAATATATAACGACCTTGAAATTTAGCTTTCGCGATATCTCCTTTCAATCGCAATTAATTCCGGTCGAATTCTCCTAGCTCAGAACGGTTTACGCTGATTCCTTTATCGACTGGAAACTAGAGTGACTGTTAACATTGTGACCAATTGCAATGGACAAACAAATTTTATAAAATAATAATTTAAATAGATCAAATGTTTTAGCGAACAACGCTTTTATTAAATAGGAATTAAGAAATCAAGGAACCGTGGACGATACTTTTTCATTTTTATAAAAGTGTCGGAGGCTTTTTGGCCAAATATGGAATATTATTAGCCAAATCCAGTCATTCAATTTCCGTCGGAGATTTGCACCGGATTCACGATGATCATGAGACGGAAAATATAGGTAATCACCTTGGTTAGACATAAATGGGAACTCCGTTTGATCAAATTCACCCACACGTAAAAATTGAGTCTTGGTAATAACCGATCTATTCAGAGTTAGAAACATTCCAGGTGGTTGGAAAGTAGTGCTAGGACTGGGAATAGATTCCACATGTTGTCTCAAGACTCTCTCTCAAAATATCACGCACATAATTAGATAAGTGCTCTTTCACCTTCTTTATTTTACTGTGTGATATTAAAACTAGCTCTAGCATGTAAATATAGCCGCAAGGCTAGCTTGATTTTTAGCAACAGGGCTTAGAAATAAGTTGTAAGGCTGATTTATTGTATGGCAAATAACGATAATAAATATAGTATTTAAAAACATTAATTTATCATGAAAGGCAGAAACGGGTTTTTACTTTAAGTATAAAAAGACTGGCGTATTGCGTTCTTCGTTAACGAAAAGAACTGGTGATAGTTTGTTTTAGGTAAAAATTCCGACAAATAAGGGAACAATAGCATCGTGTCTCGTAGGGATTACCATTATGTATGCGGTAAATCAGTTTCTGTTTCCTAATAACCATAATATTAGTTAGCAATACCCACAAGTAAACTTCAAACTCTAACCTCACAATCGGTGGATCTTGTCTAACCATATAAAGAATCAAGTGATGTCAAACCTCAGGTTATCGCTCTCATTATCGTACATGCGCTCACCATATTAAGGCTATAACATGACTGAAAAGCGTTTCATACCTGACGTTTACGTATTACGTCAATAACATGTTACAACTCTAATAACATATAGTCTATCCATTAGTGATACGTTTTGAAAACTAAATTAGTATTCTATGCTTAACTATTGGAAGGGCCTCTATTCATATCATTGGTTGTTTGGCTCTAACTTGAGGTATTAGGTATGTTGTGAGACAGTATAATAATAATATATGCATATACTGTAAAATGCTTTAAGAAGCTGTCGACGGTATCAATTAGACTAATTTATATTTGCGGACCTCGACATACATCTCGTCTGATTTTATTTATTGTATTTCTACTGGGCATCGATATGTGTTCTTCCGCCGAGAGAAAGCACAGTTAATAAAGGTGTATTACGCCGAGCATTAGTACGCTCGAAAGAACAAATAAATAAATAATATAGTTTATGCAACTAATAGTCGGTACATTTCACAAAAGGCAATGATACGTGTTCACCTTCAAATTTGGTTATTAAGACAAAATGGGCAAGTAGCTAGCATGGAAATAATGAAATTAAAATCATGTATGTGTCGCATCCCGAGTTGCACACCATGAACATCGATAGTGTTGTGTGACAATTGAATAATGTGAGCAATCACACTTTGTTCATAATAATACATATATTAATATTAATATAGCCGACTTCCTATAACGTGCGTCGCCTATACCATATTTGCCTATAATGCCATCATCCCTAACACGTCGCAATGTGCAAGCGTGGATTAATTTTATGACTAGTATAATGGTTTCACCTTGATCTCTTGCGGTCATTATCTCCTGCAACAAACGTTCTATCAATTGAACTTTTTTTTTTCCATCTCCGTAATTACGAATGTTCTATTTCGAAACTGTATATATCGGGTAGCTTTGTGTTTCAACACAAGAATCCTTGCATTATCAAATGTTAATACATTGATGTTACACAATGCCAATAAATAATAAATACCCGCTCTCCACATACACTTGAATTGATTCACAACAAGATCCCATTCACCTCGAAAACTCTTTCATTTTCCCTCGTTGAGTAGTATTTCACTCCCCCCCTTCCCTTCATTCAAAACCTCCATCCTCCAATCCGCCTCACTCTCGTTTTCAATACAGCATCCACCCCCCGCGCGGAACATACATACTTCTCTCATCTTCCACCCTCCTCCCCTAATACCATAAAAATGAAATATCTACTCAGCGCTGCCGTTCTCGCTTTTTCGGCTATTGTGGGCTCTCTTGCAGCCGTTCCACCCCCTCCACTTGCCTGCAACATGCTTACTCCCGTCAAAGGCGACGTATGGGAAATGGGAAAACTACAGACTGTAACCTGGGGTTGCAAGACTGCTGGCCCATTAGAGACCCAGCCCAATAAATTTCTTATGCATATTGAGCTTGGCACTGGAACGCCAACTAATTTTGTGTGAGTATTTTCTTTTTATGTTAAACATGACGGAAGAGGCAAATAGGATCAGAACAGTAATCTTGTTATTTGAGATATCGTGTTGTAGGAATTGAAAGTGTATAATTAGATGGTTATAATGACCTTGCAATAGTTATTAGCCATATAAATTTCTGTTTACTAATTCGGCCTGATTAATTTACTATTCATTATCCCGGACGTGATGTAGCTACGTAGACACATTCGACGACGCGGCTGAACTCAAATTGGCCAAATTCACTTGGCTCCTCCTTACCAAATATACTCCCGGAGAAAATTATATCGTCCGTCTGCGTTCTAGGACAAAGGGCGATCCTAACCCGGTAACTGCCGACGAGGCCAATAAATTACCGTGGTCATACTCTCCAAATATCAAGCTCGTCGGTGCTGGTGGAGCAGCAAGCACTACAACTGGAAACACTGCAACAAATAATACTACTAGTGGCTCGACTAGCGGTAGTTCGACTAGCGGTAGTTCGACTGGTGGTAGCTCTACTGGTGGTAGCTCTACTGGTGGTAGCTCTACTGGTGGCAGCTCTACTGGTGGTAGCTCTACTGGTGGCTCCGCGAATAATTCTACAAAGAGCTCTACAGCAAACGGGAAAAGTGCTGCCGGTATTGTGAGTGTTAACGTTGGCGTATTCTTTACTACGGTCATGGCAACTTTAGTGGCTGCGGCGTTCTTGTAATTTAATGTAATGCTTTGAACTGTATCAATATTATACGCTGATCGAGTTGGGTGTTTGAGTTGTTTCTCGCTGGGTATTTGGATTCTTAGAACACGGATCTCCGTCCTCGTCTCCAACACCTTCTCCCAACATAATTACAAATGTTTTATATAGAGTTCTCAGTATCTTCGACTGAGTAATACCAAATTGGATGGAACCTTTGGATGGGATGTGTTTTTTTTTCAGTCGATTGTTAGTCTAAATAAAGGCCATTCGGCAGCTTTACTATCGCTAGACGATAACTTTATTAATTCCAACTCATTAATAGATTGTTAGCAATGTGTAATGAAAAGACACGCATATGTTTTTAAGTTTTTGCGCGCTCAGATGTTGCAAGAGCAGGTGCATCAGGAATAATCTCTAATCGCTTATTCTCACCAAACAAACGGTATCACAGCCTTTCTCTCATGCGGATAATCCTCTTTGAATTTCTGAAGATACCAATGATGCGTTTTTCGCGCCCTAGGGAATAAATTAGATGGCGTGGTTAAAGCGAACAGGATCGCCGGCGGACTATACCAAGCAGCAATGGCAAATCCAATCCACTCTACAGCTTCGCCAAAGTATGTCGGACAACTAATGTATTTGTATAAACCTCCGTGAGGAATCAAGTATACTCGTTGTTGTTGCTGTTGTTGCTGTTGCTGTTGTTGCTGTTGCTGTTGTTGCTGCTGTTGTTGCTGTTGTTGTAAAGCCTTTCTATGCGTGCTTTCGCGGAGGGAGAAGAGAATATTGTCGTGATGGATATTTATCCACATTCCTATAAAGAATATTACGATTCCAAGAATGAAATGCATAGACATCCATGTATCCGGTTCGTATTTTCCAAATGACGCTATCCAACGTGCGTTGGAATAGCCATTAATAACGTTGAACATCACCCCGCATAATATAGTGCTCAAATTCATAGGCGAAATTCCTGGCGCTCTATACGTGTAGATTACCACTCTGTTTATATAGTGTATCAGCCACAGTGTCCCAAGAATTATTTGTGCTGGAGTGTTTGGATTTGAAGGTGGAGCAAGAAAATAGTAAAGGAAGATGAGTGGTGACCATATTTCCATAAGCACCCATCCCGGTTTCCCCGGAATATTGGGAATGAACCAGTTCGATTGGAATTTACCTGTTTGAATGAAAGGCGTAAAATGAGCATTTGGAGTAAAGCAAGAAGCGATATACAGAAATCGAGTCTTAGCCTATACCGTATGGTGCATGGAGAAAATATAAAAGGGTTAGGTATGTGATCGGAATGCAATAGTAGATTTGGAGAACGAAATTAAAAGTTTCGTCTTGTGTTGTTTCAACAAGACTCGCTAGGTTGCTTGTAAGTTTTGTGAGATTCATCATCGATGATAATATTAAGGTTATTATGTGTCATCTCCAAAGGGGGTGACAAAAGCACGGTCGAATTTAACCGAGTTGATAATAGTCATGGGGCATGTTGACAATATAGAACTTTATTGCCTAAGTACAGAGACTGCTAATATTATTGTATGTTGCTGTTCTTTGGACTCTGGACCCTCGGACAGGTGACGTACAAAAAAAAAAAAAGAAGACAATTTACAGTATTCTTTATAGTTTGTGTATATATAGGTAGCCTTCCCAATTTTGGATTTATTCATGTCATGTAAAATAAAAACAAAATAAAAATGAAAAGTTTACATTCTCTATACATCGAAGCTCGTTAAAATAGAAAGTTGGGCCCATGAACTCCATTATAGCACCATAATAACATGTATTAGTATGATCTATTACAATTGTTTTTTTATAATGTGATTCCATTGTAATGAGTTCTCCTATATAACGAGCTTTGACTGTACTTGTTCTTGATAAATTCCAAAAGGTTTATTCTAAGATAAGTGCAATAAAACTCCGATGAAGAATGTAGTTTTGCGGCGTGAGAATTGTGTCTCGCATATTAATATTCTGCGTCTATCAAGCCGAACGCGTAACTTGAAAACCTGGAGCCACCCAGTGTTTGAAGAAATTCACAAGGCGCTTTATAAAAAACCTATTTGTTAGCTATAATTTGAGTATATTTTATATAGTAAATGTAAAGCCTCCACTCTCTCGAAGCAGTGTAGTCAGATTGAATTAACCCTCATCAAAAATGTTTACCAGTATTGTAGTCATTTTAGTTAGCACCAATCGAGGATGAAGTTATAATGCTATTATGGAGGCTTCATATTTGTATAGGATTTGGTCGAAAGCTCCAACGGAATAATGGAATTACTTTTACGGTGGAATAATACCTATAGGGTCGAATAATACTATGGAAAACAACTAATAAACTTATGATTGGAAATATTCAACTGAGAGGTTTCGAGGTCTTTATTTAGGCGCACATAAATATTCAACTAATGTTTGTTCACTATTACTATGATCTCTAATGTCTTCTCTAATGGTAGATATTTAGTCCGGTAATCTCTAGCTCTCGGCATATGCTGAACTTATTCGAGTTACAGCGTCGGGAGCTTAATCAGTTGTACGAACGATTATCGAGGAAATCCCAGCAACTTCTTAATAATACGATCATACCTAATAACTACAACAACAATACCTCGTACGGATTTTATAATATCCAGGTCTCAAAGTTTTGAATAAATCTGAAATAATGCGGAAATCTCAATCCAAAATCAATTCATCATGGAATTAAATTTGAAACTCTTGCTGAGATTTCTGAGCTTAGGTAGTAGTAGAAAAATCTTGAGATCAAGGCTGAGAATACAAAAATAAAGCAGCTTAATCAGTTGTACAAACGATTATCGAGGAAATCCCAGCAACCTTCTTAATAATACGATTATACCTAATAACTACAACAACAATACCTCGTACAACAATACCAGATTTTATAATATCCAGGTCTCAAAGTTTTGAATAAATCTGAAATAATACGGAAAGCTCAATCCAAAATCAATTCATCGTGTAATTAAATTTTAAACTCTTAGCTGAGATTTCTGAGCTTAGGTAGTAGTAGGAAAATCTTGAGATCAAGGCTGAGAATACAAAAATAAAGCAGGCTATTATATTAATATACAACTAACAACTATTAGCAACTGATACTTAACCAATCAATGAATATTTCCCATATAATAAATATTATTTTATTTCAATAAATACCATCAATAATATCATTATGTGAACTTCCTATCCAATAATTTGGAAAAAAACCCCCCCCAAATTGGCAAGAGACATACAGATGCAATATAAATTCTTACAAATTTGTCAATGGCCACTTTTATACAATTCAATCTTCTCCCTTATTTTTTTCTTTACTTCTAACCCATTTTCATAAAAAGTATACACTTTGCTATTTGCTTTACTATATCCTTGTTCAGCAGC